ATTTTGTGTAGGGAGGTAAAGGCTATGGAGGACAGGGCTGCGCATGCATTAAGCAGGGAGCGAAGACATTTCCCAAGCAATCTTCGTGCCAGCACTAATGATGTGCAAAACACCCTGCCTGGCTCTGTAGATACATTGTTTTTTCAGTGGAAACACTTATATCTCTTTGGGCTGGCATGTGTCAGAATTGACCTCCAGTTGCCATCATGTATTCATTAGAAGTTACTTACATATTTCTAAAATTACACCACTATTCTTAAAAGACTCTGACAATGGGGCCTTTGTTGTGTATGGGGTAACACCACTTGCCTGGGATGATGGCGTCCATATTGCCAGTTCATGTATCCATTGCTTCAATTCCGATCTAGCTCCCTACTGGTGGCCTAAGCAAGAGCAGCAGAAGAGAGTCCAGGTGTTTGGGCCCTGCCAACCCACTGGGGAAACATGAATGGGGTTCCCGATTCTTGGCTGTGGCTTAGCTCAGTCCTGGCCATTTGCAGCCATTGGGAGTAAATCAGTGGATGGAAGACTCTGTTTTTAACTTTGAATTTCAAATAAATGAATAAGTCTTTCAAAAAAGAAGAAGAAAGAGGAGAAAGAGAACTCAGCGAAATAACCCTACTGCACTAGCTGTATCAGTTAGAAACCGTCAAATTACCAGACGGTGGCACCTGTGAAAGCATTCTGCTTATGCCCCACCTTCTGTCTCTGAGGTTTCAGGCTTTTAGCCTCTTGGTTGTCTCTTTTTATTAAAGATTTATTTACTTGAAAGTCAGGCAGAGGGAGAGAAAGGAATACTGAGAAACAAAAAGAGGTAGGAGAGAGAAAAGGGAGACAGAGATCCTCCATTCACTGAGTCATTCCTGAAATGGCTAGATGGAACTCCACCTGCATCTCCCAAGTGTGTGCTGGTGCTGCTTTTCCCAGGTGCATGAGCAGGGAACTGGATCAGAAGTGGAGGAGCTGAAAGTTTGGAAGTTCTTCACAGCCATGAGGTAGTACCCAGTGTTTCTAAGGCAATCACCCTGCCACAAAACAAATATGCTGCATTATACCATAAACACTATGAGCATTGTTTGGATTACCATGAGAAAAAGAAAGCTGGGAGGTTGATGAACATTCAAAGAAGGCAAAAAGGATGACTGGTCTGAAGGCTAAGCTCTACCGTAAGCAGCACCATGCTGAGAAAATACAGATGACACAGAGGATCAAGATGCATGGAAAGAGAAACAGCAAACAAAAGAACAATGCAAAGATTCCCCAGGGAGCAGTACCAGTCTATGCAGGTCAGAAAGGGATCTTTTACTTGTTTGACAGCGATTTCATATAAGCAGCTTCAAATCATTATAGGCTACAAACTAAATGGGAAAACTGACATTACTATGATGTTTCTGAAAACTACCAAACAGCCTTACTCTACAGTGGTCAAGAGACCTATTGATTAATTAATCTGTAAAAAACAATTAAAAGATCCACTTCTACAGAAAAAAAAAAAAGAGTAGCTGGGATTTGAAACAGCATTTATGGGATGCTGTCATTGTAGGCGGTGGCTTAACCCACTACACCACAAAGCCGCCCCCTTATGGTTATGTTACACTATGTATAAATTGAATTAATTTTTTATTTCATTAACCCAAGATTATACTCACTGAAAATGCTAAATATGATGTAAATTTGTAGCTTTAATGCCTTAATTATCTAAGTATCACTTGAGACATACAGGTCATGAAATTTCAAGTAAAAAACTTTAAAGGTTAAAATGAAAAATCTCAATTAATCAAACCCCTAACTCATAACTCTATGCCTTTTCCAGATATATGTGTAGTCTTCCAGATTTTTAAATTTATGTATCTAATTATATGTAGCATAATTATATGTGTTTTAATTACATAAATATCATAATTTACAAAGTGTTCTAATATATGCTTACTCCTATTAATCTATCTCAGGTATCTATGTATGTTGGCACCTATAGATGTAAATTAGATGTATATTAGATGTTTTTAACACAGTATAGTATTCCATAATATGGATTTAGAACACTTTATGCAATCAATATTTTTATTTATAATTTTTAAAACTACTACCAAAAATCCTTCATTGATACATGCAAACATGGACCCAGTGCAATGGCGCAATGGCTAAATCTTCACCTTGCACATGCTAACACCCTATAAGGGTGCTGGTTCATATCACGGCTGCTCTACTTCTCATCCAGCCCCTGATTGTGACCTGGGAAAGCAGTGGAGGACGGCCCAAAACCTTGGGACCCTGCATCCATGTGGGAGACCCAGAAGAAGTTCCTGGCTCCTGGCTTCAGATTGGCTTATCTCTGCCAATTGTGGCCACTTAGAGAGTAGGCCAACAGATGGAAGATTTTTCTCTAACTCCTTCTCTCTATAAATCTGCCTTTACAATAAAAATAAATAAATGTTTAGTATACACACACACACATAAGCATATATCTTTGTGCACATGTGTAAATAGTTTTACAGAATAAATTATAAAAAATTAAATTTGTAAACACTATACAAATTAAGTTCCTAAATCAATAGGATATACATACAGAATTTCAAATTATCCAATTTATCAATGTATTGAAGTATTTCAGGCACTATTGACGCAAAGAGAGAAAAAGGGAATGTGTGTGTGTGTGTGTGTTTGTGCGTGTTTCCATTTGTTTGTTTTAGATAGCACTGAACCAGGCAAAAATGGAAGGCCAGGAATTCAATTCAGGTCCTCCATGTGGGTGCTCAGGACCAATTATCCGAGACATTACTTGCTACTGCCACAGGTTCTACCTGAGCAGGAAGCTGGAATCGGGAGCTAACAGCTGGGAGTTGAACACAGACACTGATGTGCGATGTGGGCACCTCAACTGGTATGTTATTCTTCCTCATCTGTATATCCCATCGCTGTTTAGCTCTTTTCTAAGTTACCATGTTGCTTCCGGTTCTTCTCCCATGACAAATGGGGATTTACATTCACATCTTTTCTCATTCATCCTTCTCAGTTTCTTCTGCAGGTTGACCTCATATTTTCAAAGAGTTAAACTAAATCTTCCATGTATTGTTTGATTACATGGGCAGATTACTTCATAGCATTAATTCCTCACTGCTTTTATCGTTCTCCATCTCCTTGCATTTCTGTTGCTTTCTTACATTTAAATAACTTCTGTAACCTCTAACTTTATTGCTACAATGAGGCTAATTAAATTTATGTTCCAGTCTATAACCCTGTCTAATTTTGAAAGTTGAATTGTAACAAATAGCATTTGTTTACTATGATTGTATACACATTGTTTCATGAAGACCTTTATATTGCTAAGACTATATTTCCTTCCTGACTAATTCACAACTCCTGTTGACTGCAGCCATGAGAAAAATGTGGGCTTGGAGTGCCCGATTTACCAAGGCTGCAAGACAAACCTAAAGTTTGCATCTCTGTACAAAGTCATACGTACTTTGTGACAACGCATTCAAACACTGATGCAGAACTGCACAGTTAGCCAAACAAGAACCAATCTCACAGGAAACAGTCAAGATGCCACTTCCATGTTGAAGACTTTTCCTTTGCCCTTAGTTCTTTAAAATTCCAGAGAGGTAGTCCATTGAACCTTTTCTTTGGCTCCACAAATATTTCTTGTGATACTTTCTTAATAAGCTTCCTTCCTTTGATTTCTCTGTTTCCTCCCCGCACTCCAGACAACATGGCGATGTTCATCTTGAATGATTCACGGAGCCTCTCACCTATTCTGCCTCTCTGCCCTTTGTTTTATTTTCTGGAAAATTTCCCCAATTTCTTCTCGACTAGATAAAAAAGCACAGTAACTCAACCTTTATCCACTGAACCACGGCAGTGTCACTAAAGAGTGCGACTTGACAAGGTACTCATATTCTCTGCTTCAATTTCTTCAACTGTTAAATGAGAATAATGATACCTACTACTATTGGTTTCAGATTCTCTATTCTGATTCTTGCTAATTTTTGGCTTGACTTGCCCATCTTTTCTTGCTTTTGTAGGTGAGCTATTTAAATCATTGACATGTCTTCTTTCTAATACTAGTGCATATTCCTGTAAATTTGCCCCCAAAGCACTAGTTCTTCTATATCCTATGAGTTTTCACACTATTGTTATTCCATTGAAATGTTATTTCCATTGTGGCAGCCTTAATACTTAGTATATCATGAAGTAACACGAACTAAGAATTTTAAAGCTGGATTATCATTTTGATATACAATTGTTTTATTATAAAAAACCTATTCAAAAGTGTTTTAATCTTTGTAATGATGACAATCAAAATAGCTTTTTATTCAGGGATTGAGAAAGAATATACTTTTAGAAGAAGAAAATATATATATATTTTTTTTATTAAGCAGAGGTTGGGTGCTGAAAACAAAACCTGGCTTTGGCTGAGTGTGGCCCAGCCCCTCTCTGCAGCTGGAACCTCCTCATACAGGAGCCCTCCCCAGCTTCACTTAGCTCCTTCAACACCCCCACCTGCTCTCTTCTCAAGCCCCTGCACTTGCTGTTCTCTCACCCTGGAGCTGCATTCGTCCACAGAATGCTACATCTGCCTCTGCCTTTAGGCCTCTCCCCTGACCATTCACCCAAGGCACTTCACTTCCTGTTCTCCACCTAGCAAAGTCTATAAAGGCAGCCTGTTTTCTCATTTACAAATCCCTCTTCAAAATTATTTCATTCTCTGATGATAGGCTGATTCTCCATCAAAATGTTGGTTCTGTAAGAGAGGAAATCTAATTTCTCCATCAGTTACCACTAGTGCTGGTTTAAGTGTAGCTGGCATATTAACTGGCACCCAAAATTCTGCTTTTAGGAACTTAGTGAAACAAATATTTGCCAAATTTCAAACATATCACTAATAAAAACTCTTAGTCATATTTACAGTATGCAGATGCCTTGTGATAAAAAAATGATGGTTCACTATTTTTATAACAATTAAAAATTAAAAACTGCTATAATCCAAAGGAAAGACCAACCTGCTGTTCATACCGTTGTCTGACATCGTCCAGCTGCCACACAAACTCCTTGGACTGCTTCTCACGAAGAGACTTCGACCTTGTTAGATCTGCTTCCACTTTTTCCATCTGCAACATGTAAAAAACAAACACTAAACTTTTTGAACAAAGAGTCATATGCTATACATTTTATAATTTCATATATTCTTTAAAAAACGGGTATTAAACATTCACCAATCATTGTGATGGACTTACAAGTGATAAAGTAATGAAACAAATCTAATTTCATTTTGACATATTTTAATAATTTAAAGTGGTAGAAATATAATTTGGGGCCTTCCCATTTTTCTAAAGATGTGTTTCATTTTTATTGAAAGTCAGATTTACAGAGAGAAGGAGAGACAAAGATCTTCAATCTGCTGGTTCACTCCCTGAGTGGCCACAAAGGCGAGAGCTAAGCCAGTCTGAAGCCAGGAACCAGGAGCTTTCTCTGGGTCTCCCACGGAAGTACAGGGTCCCAAGGTTTTGGGCCATCCTCAACTGCTTTCCTAGGCCACAAGCAGGGAGCTGAATGGGAAGTGGAGCAGTCAGGACATGAACCAGTGTGCAAGATGAGGTGTGTGTGCAAAGCGAGGACTTTAGCAACTAGGCTACCACGCCAGGCCTGACCCTAGCAGATTTATTCATTATTGCGCCTTTGGTATATACTGAATAGGAGAAAATATTTTCTACTCATATATTCAATACGAGACCTATCCAAAAATGTAAAGAATTTTTATAACTCAACAATGAATGGTCAACACAATTTATAAATGGGAAACAATCTGAATAGATATTTCTCCAAAGAAAGGCAATAGATGCTCAAGTGCATGAAAAGATGTTCCATATCATTGTTCTTAGGCAACTGAAAACTGAAACAAGAATGACATTCTAATAGAGTCCAATTAGTCGTCCATACCCATGAGTTTCGTACTATGGACTCAACCAACCATAGAAACAAAAGACATTTTAAACAAATTGTTTAGTTGCTAAGCATGATATTTTTCTTGTCATCATTGCCTAAACAATATAACCACCACCACCAAAGCATTCACATTGTATCAGATATTTACCAATAATCTAGAGATGATCTAAAGTGTATGAGGAGATGGGAAGGCTGTGTATGCAAATATGAGAGCATTTTGCAGAAAGAACTTGAGCAGCCATGGACTCTGGTGTCCTCGTGGAGGCCCAGCACCAATCTTCTGACACTGAAGAACAAATGCTAACGCACATGTCAAGACAGAGGAACGCTGACAGCAACACGCAAAGTGTCACAAAAGACACCTGGTTCATGATTCCACTCACATTAAATGTGTAGAATAGGCAAGTCCAAGGAATCAAAAAGTAGATTTGCAGTTCTTTGGGGAGACAATCAGGGGATGGAGGAATGACAGATAAAGGGTACAAGGTTTCTTTATGAACAAAAAAAGTTCTATGTTGACGATTGCACAATTTTGTAAATATATTACAAACCATTGAATTGCACAGTTATGAGTGAATTGTTGATATGTGAATTGCAACAAAGATTCCAACACATTTAAGGCCACAGGTGATCCAATACCTGTCGCCTCTCTCAGCTTTTCTCAACTACTGTATCCCCTCACTGCCACCACTCCTACCCGCTCCTCTGCATGGCCTAAAACATAGTAGAGTCAGTTCTGGCCTTGAGGCTCAGCAGCTTTCCTCTAGATATTCACGTGAATTCTTGAAGTAAGGTTTCGCTTCAACATGACCTTTGAACAGCGGTTGCCTAGACCACTTTATCTATTACATTGCAGCCTCCACACCACACCCACCCAGCATCCCTTTCCCTGATTTGCTGTCACACAGGACATACCACCTTCAGTCTGCATGACTGACTTCCTCTTAGGTTCTCTACCCCTCTATAATGTAGTCCCAAGCTCTCAACTTTCTGAATCATTTAGTGCAGTGCCTGTTAAACACAGCAAATCAAATACCACTAATTAGATGAAGACAAGAAAACTCAGTGTGCCCAACTTGGCTAAATATCTGGCTGACTAGTACTCCATCTTACTTTTTGGAACAAAATAGAGGCAACTGGAAACCCTTATGCTTAGTGAAAATAAGCATGACTCAGAAAGACAAATATTACATGTTCTGACTGCGGCAGCTAGTAAGAATAGTACAATAAAGTGTAACACATATGAGTGACATTGACATCTTGGGAGTCGATAACTGTCTACAGTCCATTTCAGTATTCTTTCTGAACAGTGGTTTTTCTATTGTTGGACTCCTTATTTGTTGCAGCATTAAGCTGGTGACTACAAAATATGTTAAAAACATGTTATCACAAAAATTAAACAAGAAAGCGTAAAGAGAGAATTATCATTATATTCTTAGAATTGTACCTGTGAACCATAGAAAAATCCATTCTCTTTACATCAATAATAATATTTATAAAATTCGATGAATGTACAGCTTTCAATCTACAGTGTCAAACACTTTACAGTACCCCAAAATAAATGGCATAGTACGGGATCCACCTTGCGTCACTTTGTATTTGTATCAGAGGCTCTTTTATATGCAAACAGTAATGAAAAAAACCCATTTAAATAACATGAAAAGGGCATCTTTAATTCAGAGTATGGTCGATCATTGTCTTTCTGAAGTTACAAATTTGGTTAAAACTTAGGAAAATATGTTTTTTCTGATGCAATTATCAGTTGATGTGACAATCAGTCTGGCTCCTCTATATTTGTTATCATTCTGTTTTATCACTATGTTGAGTTACTTCTTGCACAGGTTGCCTTCTTTCAGATTACCTTTAGGTAAGCGGCAAGATTACTCAAAAAACATTTGTATTAAAGGAAATCAACCATGGGAAAAAAAATCTTCACATTTCTATCACTGTTAAATTTGGAGGAAAAAAAATCATTCAAATGCATTTATTTGGATACAATTAAATTTTAAGAGTCAAGAAAGACAGCAAGAGTGAATGCATTGCACTGAATCAAAATAAAATGCATGTTACTACCTGTTACTGCTAACAATACATTTCAGCTGATAGCTATTACACAGAGGAGTGAAAGATCTACACTATGGAATGATATATTTTTTTAAAGATTTATTTATTTTTATTGGAAAGGCAGATGTACAGAGAGGATGAGAGACAAAGAGAAAGGTCTTCTGTCCAATGATTCATTCCCCAAGTGTCCACAATGGCCGGTGCTGCGCTGATTTGAAGCCAGGAGCCGGGAAGTTCTTTTCGAGTCTCCCAGTTGGATGCAGCGTTCCAAGGTTTTTGGCCTTTCTTGACTGCTCTCCCAGGTCACAAGCAGGGAACTGGATAGGAAGTGGAGCTGCCGGGATTAGAACCAGCACTCATATGGAATCCCGGTGTGTTCAAGGCGAGGACCTTAATCATTACGTTATCGTGCCGGGTCCATGGAATGATAATTTAACATGTAAGCACTTCTTTATAATTACCAAGGACCATGATGCTGAAAACATGAAGACATCAGCTTCCAAAATCAATTCTTATGGCTGCAAGATTTAATTTTTATTTATTGACTTGAAAGGCAGAGTTAGGGACAGAGGTGATGGAGACAGATTCCCATCTGCTCTGTCACAATCCAAATGCCCACACCAACCAGGACGGGTCAGGCTGCAGCAGCCAAGAGCCGGGAGAAAAATCAGGGGCTTCCACATATGGCATGAACGGAACAGTCTGAGCCATCACCTGCTGCTTCCCAGTGTGCACACTACCAGAAAGCTGGCCCTGGAAGCAGAGCTGAGAGTCTAATCCAAGATGCAGTGTCCCAGGTGGAAGGATACTGATATGCCAAACAACCCAGCCTGAGGTCTAAGATTAACGATCTTAGCTTGCCATCGGGGTAGTCAAGAATAAATGTAAGGGAAGCAGCACTGTGGCATAATGGAACCAGCATAGGAGTTCCAGTTTGAATCTTGGATGCCCCACTTCCAATCTGGCATTCTGTTGTGGGCCTGGGAAAGCAGGGGAGCATGGTATAAGTACTTGGGACCCTGTAACTCACTTGAGAGACTGGACGGAGTTCAAGGCTTCTGACTTCAGTCTGGCTCAGCCCTAGCCAAGTGGCCATTTGAGGATGGAAGATCTCTGCCTGTAATTCTACTTTTCTAATAAGTGAACAAATACAGTAAGCCTATGTTATTTTGATTCCGAGGCTTCCAGGCTCTCTATTTTTCAGTGTTTTTTTTACAGCAATCCAATGTCCTTGGCATTTTATAAGCAAACACAGCCGTTCCTGTCTCTGGACCTATGCTGTGAATACCTGGCAGGTCCGTACATTCTTTTCCTTTTCCAGTCTTCTAGCTGGATTCAAGTCTTCCTCTGCTCTGAGGTGTTCTTAAATCAAATGAACGCTTTCTATACTCTGTATCCCCAACAGCTTTGTTTTAGTAACTCATTGTTTTTCTCTACAGCATAGAAATGCTTCAAATGTGCAAACTTTGTTTATTCATCTGGCTCATTAGCTGCCAAATACAAAGAATAATGGCTTGTAATGCTTTCTTTTGTATATTTATTACTCACAATTGATACCATATGCAGCATAACTACACACTGAATTCTAAAGGATGGGGAGGAATGACATCGGCAAGATGACAGAATGAGTTCCCTGGCTCCGGTTTTCCTCACATAGCTAGAGCAGAACTTAGCAGTGGGGCTGAGACATGCCCCCTGATCACAGAACCAAGCACAGCCATGTTAGAAGGGTAATAGGAACAGCTTTACCTGGAGCATATCACACTTTCCCCAAACCAGCATAAATCCACACAGAAAAGACGTTCCCTGGACCCTTATTTTGTGTAGAGGAATAAAAAGAGCCAAAAGTACATAACCAGCTTCTCCAGCACTCCGGGATTATTTTTTTTTTAAAAAGATTATTTATTTGAACATCAGAGTTATAGAGAAAAAGAGCAATGGAGAAGTTTTTTTTTTTTGTCTTTTTTTGTTTGTTTGTTTTCTGCTGATTCACAACCCAGATGGCTGCAGTGGACAGGGCTAAGCCAGCTGAAGCCAAGAGCCCAGGGCTGCATCTGGGTGTCTCACAAGGGTCGCAGGGGGCCAAACATTTGAGTGATCC